GAAGAATCGAAAAAACCCTGAGGAAAACCGAAGAAACCAATGTAAAACAGTGGGAAAATAGTCAAAGTAAAGATACAGTACTGGCCAGTCCAATAATGCTGCTGTAGGCGAGACGTCACGGTATTGGTGACATATAGCTCCCGCATATTGTGAGTGTCACATAGGATAGGAGAACTCCTTACAAGCATGGTTCACTAAAATTAGTCACAGAGGCACTTATACACGATGAATTGGCTGCTTGTTAGGACGGACTTTCAGACCAAGATATTTTGGAGTTCTTGAAATAGTAGTTTTCCTGGTTAATCTAAAAACACTTGATGATGTGACATACTGGCATCCATAGTTTCATGTACGTATTGAAAATTTATTATCACCTTTATTTCTAGATATAAAACATTTTGGATATTTGAATATGGATTACATACATAGTGAAATGAGTGAACAAACAAACTAAAGCGCGTCTATATACATTTGATTCAGGAAATGTTAGAATATCTTCTAATTCGGAACGGAGAGAGTAGTTTATATACTTTTGCAAGCATCTCTGGATTATTCCTGGACATTTCGGTTAGGCAGAGATCGTGTAATTTGATTTCCGGTAGTATTGAGTGAAACAAAAAATTACACACTTGTAGTAGTAGCTGATGCTGCCTCCTTAGGCTAAAAAACCTACTAGTAATTCTTTTTAGATACTAAATTATTGATTCCTCGACAGGTAAATGTCGATGACGAAGATGATCGAGGATGCGAGGATATCCATCTCTATATAACTGGATGTTTTCAGTCGAGTTGCCAGTGCTTCCCGCAGAAGAGGCAGTAGCAGATAGGCATCAAGGGCATCTTACAGACCCTTTACTTCTACACTGGGAAATGGATTATAGTGTGATTAATTCATAATCATGAATAAGGAAAGATGTAAGAATTCTATTTTTTGTGAAAACGGAATTCTACTAATTTTTATACTAATATAAGTATATATTGATTATTAATTTATTATTCATGTTTGTGATATACAAACTATATTTGTGCCATTGTACCACACACACATTCAAAAAATGCCAATATAAATTTTTAAGTAAAAAACACAATCATTGGATATCCCTACTACTACTTAAAATCCCTACTAGTACCTCATAGTAGAGAAAATCTCTACTGTCCAATCTATCTAAATATAATATAAATCTAAATCCAAGTCTAATCTAAATCTGGATATAATCCAAACAACGTCTGAACTTTCCTATCTCTTTTCATCTATCATACTTAAAAGTGACACAAGGTTATATCATCCGCTGGTCCTTCATCCAAGTTTATGTCATGTTTCCCCTCCCTACCCTTGTTTTAATTTTGTTCTTGTAATCTCTAGTTTTCTCATCGGTTTTCTCTTAAAACCATCTCACTTACCACACCTCTTATTGACTTATTAAATAAATTATGTTTCCTCATGCAAGCTAATAAATATTTATCAAATAAGTGTTTACCAAATAAAATTCCTTTTTCTTACACAATCACATTAACATGTGCAGGTAAATCACGGGCTAACATATATAAAACGTCTTATATGATGGGCGAAGGGAGTATAGTATGTTATATTAAAAAACAGAAGGTCCATGTTTCACCTCAAGTGTTTCGCTCCCTACCATCATCCACATCCCTCTTCATTGAAAGTGCATTTATCTCTAGCATATTATGGTGTGATTACAATATGATTAGTGGAACCAATGCCGGTTGTTAAAAGACTATTTCAGGTCATTGGTTCCTGGAAGGATTATTAAGGAGATGGTTCACCCTTCACTTGAAAAAGGATAAAGGCATACTTTTTCGACAACTCAGGGCTTTGATTTCAGCTTATATGAGTCCTAGGGCAACCGAACTATTAAGAGGGGTCGAGTTACTTGAAAGAGAGTGTCAGAACACACCATACTCATATACCAGCCTTCCCAACACAATATCCAAGAAAAATCTTTTAACCTACCACCAAGTGTGCAATGGCCTACATACTCGTGCCCACAGGGTCCGTGGTTAAGTCTCTGGATACCTTGTGCGCATGGGCTTCTGGCACCCGTCTTCACAGGGTCTTGGCTAAGTCTCTAGACACCCCGTGCACACGGGGTCTCTAACCCCTATTGTCATAGGGTCCTAAGATTTTCTCTTGGGTGACCCCGTGCGCACGGGGCCTTCCGGGTAAGGGCTACATTCGAGGGGTTGGGTGTAAAAAGCCCTTCTTTCATCTCGAACCCTTAACCCCAATTTCTTGTGAGCCCATCCCCATTGCTACACCTTGATTTGCTCAATACTCTTAATCCCTCCATCTAAACTTGTTGATTCTTTGAAATTTGAGAGAGCAAGACCCAATATACACTTGTTCCCCACTTGATTTCTTCATCAACACTTGTTACTCTTGGAGTTTGGGCTCCTAGATGGTAGAGGTTCCTTTGAAAACTTCTTTGCTCGCGGTGTGCTCTGAAGAGTTTCTAAAGGTGTGGTGGTCTCCTTCAAGACCAACCGAGTATTTGAGGC